TACTATAAAAACACTGTTTATTATTATACTTTATTACAAAAATATAAGTTTTCGTTATATAAGAAAAAATCACTTATAGGTGTAGACGGTTCCTCTAATGAAAATTTCATTGCCAGTGCCAATTACACCTATAGGTAATGTTGAATTTATACGAACATGTCTTATTCTTTATGAAAAATTAAAAAAAACATTCAACGCAATATCCCGGTGAACCATCACAAGCATTACACACGTACATAGTTGCTGTTCTCTTCTTTTGAGTTCTACAAACTTTACACTCTTTTCTTGCTACTCTTTTCATCTTCAATGTTTGATCAGATGCTTTATTATTCTTCATCGGTAATTTTAATAATTTTTTTATAATTCGTGTATGGTTGCAGTAGCCTTGTGGTCAACTTTTGGTGGTAAGAGTGATTCTAAAAGAGCTAATCTAAAGTCCCACATGTTCTTCTTTGTTTGCTCTTAGTACTTGTTGTACAGAATAGCCGAATTTATTACACTTATTTGTAATATATGGACAAATATTTTTTTTATACCAGCGCAATGTTTTTTGGATACATGGCTAGTATGATGCATTTGATCATGCTGGTCAATGTCTGACATGTATTTATTATAATTAATAATTGCGAATGGTTTCAATGTTACCTGGTCTATTTTATTTTGAGATTCAGTCATTTCGTTTCCGTATACACTCGTTATATACATTACATCGCGTTTGGATCTCCATTTACCAATGTGCACGGCATTACGAAATAAGGACTTATTCTCTCCTGGTTTTAGTTTTACTTGCTGAATGACTCGTGAATTACTTTTTATTTTTATATTTAACGTCTAAGTGCAGCAAGTCTCTTTTTGTAAAAGGTCTGAAGCTAACTGATAGCTGTTATAATAACGATCCATATAAACCGAATGTCCCCGGTGTAGCCTTTCTTGTAACAAATATTTAACTACTTTTGAGGTATGACCAGTTCCGCCCAATGCATCATTTGACCATCTATAAATTGTAAATTTTTGGATTAATCCGTTGAGTTCTGTCAGCATGTAAAGTTTCACCCCATATTTATGTTTCTTATTCTTAATATACTTAGTATACATAGGGACATACAATATTAGATCGATGTCCACAGATGAAAAAGTACATGAACTGGAAGAAGAATTAATAAACATAAAATGGGATATCATAGGCCTATCAGAAATTCGACGAAAAGAAGAAAACAGAATACAGCTAAAATCCGGTCATCTACTATATAAAGGAAATGAAATGAATAGTAAATTTGGAGTAGGATTTATAATAAATAAAGCTATAAGTAAGCATGTCCAAATTATCAAAGGTATATCAGATCGTGTCGCCTATGTCATACTTAAAATAAGAAGAACATCAATTAAAATTATCCAGGTATATGCCCCCACGACAGCTTATGATGAAGAAAATATCGAACTATTTTATGAACATACCTATATCAAAGGCTATGGAAGAACATAAAAAATCGTCTTACACTAGTAATTGGAGATTTCAATGCAAAACTGGGTAGAAAACTAAACAAAGAAGAAACTAAAATAGGTGATTTCGGGTATGGTCAGAGAAATGATAGAGGTGATCCTTTGATGAACTACCTAGAAGAAAAGCATGTATACGCAATGAACTCCTTTTACAAAAGAAGCCCCAAGGAAAGTGACATGGATCAGCCCTAATGGATCCACAAAAAATGAGATCGACTTCATACTGTCCACGGAACGATATATCATTAAAGATGTAACAGTTCTTAACAGATTCACAACAGATAGCGATCACAGGATGGTCAGAGCAAAAATTAGTATTGACGGTAACTATGAGATGAAAAGAAAAATAAGTAGAAACTGCGATCTAGTAGATAGAAACAAACTAGGGCAATATAAAGAGAAATACAAAGATCTATTAAAGGAACAACTTACCCAAAAATTAGACAGTGATGATAAAGATATAGACGAAATAGACAACATACTTACAGCAACAATGATTACATCAGGAAAAGAAATAGCAAAAAAGGATCTAAAAAAGAACAACTATATATCAACAGAAACAAAGAAGCTTATGGATAAAACAAGGAAGGTGAACGAAGGAGGTGAAATGCTTAAGGCAGAAATTAGGTAAGTTTGAAATAAACAAAATAAAAGATGTAAATGGAGTAGAAACAAACGTTAAAGATGACATCATAAATATAATCCACCATTTCTACTCAGAATTATATAAAACAAAAAAGGAACCACCAGAAGAAATTAAAAACCAACTTAAAGTTAAAATAAAAATGTCAACTCAGAGCTACAGCCAGAAATAAGTAAATCAGAAATAAAAAAGGCATTGAAAGAAATGAAAAACAACAAATCGCCTGGAAAATATGGAATAACTGCAGAGATGCTGAAATATGGTGGAAAAGTGGTAATTAATACTCTACATCCCCTTTTAATTTGGCAGATTTATTCAACACGGTGTACGATATGGGAATAATAACCACAGGAGTGGCTAAAGTCAGCATTTATAACCATCCCTAAAAACAAGCAGCAAAAGAGTGCTCTGATTATCGAACGCTGAGCCTCATGAGTCATACTTTAAAAGTTCTGCTAAAAATAATACATAAGCGAATATTACGAAAGGCTAGAGGAAGATATTAGCGAGACGCAGTTCGGGTTCCGAAATGGAATGGGTACTCGAGAAGGACTATTTGCCATCAACATATTAATTCAGCGATGTCGGGATATAAATGTTGATCTACACTTGTGCTTCGTTGACTACGAAAAAGCTTTCGATAAAGTAAGACATGAAAAATTAATATCAATACTTATGAACAAGCGCATTGACAGTAAAATCATAAATATAGTGCAAACATTATATTGGAACCAAAGTGCCATAGTTCAAATTGGTGGACAACACTCAGAAGAAATGAGGATCTGTAGAGGAGTTAGACAAGGATGTGTGTTATCACCACTTTTGTTTAACTTATATTCTGAAGAAATTTCCAAAACACGCTCAATAATATCGAAGCGGGAGTCACCGTTAACGGAAAATTAATTAATAATTTAAGATATGCAGAAGACACTGTGATCATAGCAACGAGTATAGAGGATCTACAACATCTTATCGAAAGCTTGAGTATAAATAGTGCTGAGATGGGAATTACTATAAACGCTAAAAAAACGAAGTACATGCTGATTACAAAAAGGCCACAAAATATACATCACCTATTGACAATAAATGGTAACGTGATAGAACAAGTAGAAAAATATCAGTATTTGGGAACTTTGATCAGTGAAACCAATGATCATACTGTAGAAATAAACAGACGAATAGAGATTGCCAGATCAATATTTATACGAAATGAAGCCACTCCTAACGTGCAAAAATCTAAATTTGGAGATCAGACTACGTACCATTCGCTGTTATATATTTTCAATATTATTATATGGAGCTGAGACTTGGACATTACAAAAATGTAATTTAAAAAGAATCGAGGCCTTCGAACTCTGGTTATACCGCAGAGTATTGAAAATATCATGGACTGATAGAATTACAAATAAAGAAGTACTGGAGAGGGTTGGTAAAGAAACAGAACTAATCACCACTATACAAACCAGAAAACTGGAATACCTAGGCCACGTGATGAGGGGACCAAAATATGAAATTTTGAGACTGATAATACAGGGAAAGATTCAAGGAAGAAGATCTGTTGGCCGAAGGCAGAACTCATGGTTAAAGAATCTACGTGATTGGTACCAATGCAGATCGATTGATTTGTTTAGAGCAGCAAGTTCTAAAATAAAAATAGCCATTATGATTGCCAACCTCCGTAGGGAGACGGCACTCTAAGAAGAAGAATCCCCTTTTAACAGGATATTAAAAGAAAAAAGAATCCCAAACAACTGGAAGGAATTAGTAACCATTATCCAGTAATCGATACAAATAAATAGAGGCGTGAGACAGGGTGATACAATATCAGCGAAACTTTTCAATCGGGCTCTTGAAAATACTTTTAAAAGATTAGAATGGGAAGAAAAAGGTATAAAAATTTGTGGACAACGCTTGAACCATCTAAGGTACGCTGATGATATCGTATTGATAACTGATAAAAAAGAAGAAGTATTTGAAATGATGAAAGGACTGGACGTAGAAGCTGGAAAAATAGGCTTTAATATGAATTACAGCAAGACCAAAACCATAACAAATACAGATGAAGACATCACAATGAGAATCGGATAAGATGAAATAGAACAAGTTCAGGATTATATATATATCTTGGTCAAACTATAAAACTTAACAAAGAGAACCAAACAGCAGAGACAAAGAGACGAGTTAGACTGGCATGGGCGGAATTTGGCAAACTAAGCTACATTCTTAAAAACAAAAGATATCCACAGCATCTTAAGACCAAAGTATACAATCAATGCGTACTCCCTGTTCTTACTTATGGTTCCCAAACGTGGACATTTACAAAAGCAAACATGGACAAAATCACAAAAACCCAAAGAGCAATGGAAATACAAATGTTGCACATAAGACTAATGGATAAAAAGAGAAACGAGTGGATAAGAGAGAAAACAAAAGTGAGGGATGTTAGACAAGAAGTTGCAAAATTGAAATGGAGATTTGCCGGACACAATAAAGACAAAAAGAAGACCGATGGAACAAAATTCTTATAAGTTGGAGACGGTGGGAATATTAACGAAGCAGAGGAAGACCCCAAATGAGATGGGCAGATGATATCAAGAAGCACGTGGGATCTAGGTGGATGACTGTAGCGACAGACAGAGAAGAATGGAAAAGGATTGGGGAGGCCTATGTCCAAAGATGGGCCGAAGAAGGCTAATTAGATAGATAAGATTCTTAATATACTGGCGGAAGATTAAACGTCCTCGCCATAATATCATGAACTCATCAAGAGAAAGTTCCTTTCCAGGGTTGTAAATAGCCTGCATTTTATTATTAAAGTGGTTCATGATGGGGCGTACTCTTGCTAAAACGATCTTCGTTATTTTCTCCAACAGGTGAGAAGAGCTTCATTACTCCACGTCGGGTTTTGATCATTGGACGTATTTGTTGCTGTAATTGCGTTCTGTATGTCATCAATTCCATGCTCGTCATTAGTATCACTCGCAATGTCTGTTGTATGTCCTTCATCACTGTGTACAGAAAAGTTATCATCACTTTCATCGTCGTCCGACTCTAAAATATGTCGCATCTCTTCTACCGTTAGTGGACGAGTCAGCTCCCTATTTGATAATTTTCTTTTAATGTCAGAAGGTCCCGGTTGACTTTCCATTTTAAAATGACCACTATTTAACAATAAAACACAACAAACTTGTCAAAAATTAAAGAATAATCGTTTACCTGATGTTTATCTAATGAAATATAACCAAATATTTATAAACACTGTCAAAATTACGTCACCTGCATTCAATCATTCAAAGTCGAAATTCCATGACTTGCTGCAAGCAACCAACATTACACATCAATAATATAGGTTTCAGTCAACATGCCTTATAGCTATTAAAATGTTTACTTAAAGTGCCAGTCGCACAAGAGTGAGATTGAATTGAATTTATATTAATCACCTATAGGTGTAGCCGGCGCCTCTATTGACACCACGGAATACACCTATAGGTGTAATCGGCAATGAATGTGTTTTAATATTATCAGGGTGCTGTCAGAGAATTTGGCCAGGACCTGGCTTCTTTTGAAATCTGTACTCCTCACGTCATTTACTTGGGCATTTTCTTTGAGTTCGGTACTTCGTAAGTACATGTATTGATGATTTGACAAAGTGTGACATAAAGGGTTTATTCACAAAATGTTCCAACTTAGATACAGCAAGGCAATGGCATTACTTCTCTCACTGTACCTAGTCAATAGAAAGTTCAGGGTTCAGATAGGACACGTCCAGTCTGAAGTCGGAATGATTGAGGTTGGAGTACCACAGGAAGGAGTACTGTCAGTCATCCTTTCTGTATATTATATACACTACGGAAATACCAACCATCCCGCAAACCATGCTCAGTCTATATGCCGATGACAGCAATAGCAAGTCTGGATCGAAAGTCATGCAAGTCATTGCAGTCATGTTAAAGATTTGGTAGTCCAGACCGTCAAGTGAGGATGTTCAATACACAGAAGTAGGTAGAGTATTTAGCATTTTTTTCACTAAAGACTGGTAATTATTGACTTAAAATCAAATTTTTTTCAGTATTTACAAACAAATGTAATTTTTTACATACCTGAACCACCGGTTGTCCTTTCTAAATGATGTCGTATAATGTCTCTGATCATCCTGGCAGAATTTTCGGCATTCCTATAAGCTTTAGTTGGAGAACTCTTTCTATTATTATCATCCTCTTTTTCTTCTTTGGTAAAATTCTTATGAGGCATGGAAGCTAGAGATAAAGCTGATAAAGAACTTCGTCTAGAGACTTGATTCCATAGCTCTATTTGTTTGTTGTAAATATCACTAAGACGTTCTGGTGCCAATTCACTTCCCCAACCACGGTGCTAAAAATAATTTAATTAACAATTATTGCAGTTTAATAACATGCTAGTTAGGGAAAGAGATCCAATACCTTGTATTCTCCAGCTTTCTTGCGTAGCTCTACAACTTCTTTGTACCAAGAAGCATTTTTATCGTTTTCGGTAAGATTCTTCTGAACTTCTTCTATTGGGTCGACTCCCTTTGACGCAAATCCTCTCTCGGTATATTCGTATTGGGAAAATGGTCTAAACTTCTTTTTATATTCGGTGTTGAACTCTTCTCGGCATCTCTCTCGGTTGTTCTTGTCGTCTACCAATGGTTCCAATTCACTAGCTATAAAGAATCAAATATGTCAACTATTTATCGTGTAAAATAAAATAAAATATATAGAAATGTAAATTTCTAAAGCTCAAACAAGATTTTAGAGACCGCATACTTGTTCAAAAGATCGAATATATTTTTTAAATAATGAAAGATTAAGATACTGGCCATTCAAGTGTAGCCTGTATTAAAAAACTTGTCAATGTCAAAAGGAGAGTTGATCAAAATATTAACCCTTTTAATAATTTAGAAGATTCAATGATAGAAATAGTATAGTCGAGCTAGCATATATTGAAGAACGGTTTAAATGCGGCGAGGTTTGATCCCTTCACTTTTACAACCGACCGGATACCTGTGCAAAGCATTTTAGTTGGGAAGCAGTTCGTTAGTAGAGTGTAGAGTGTTGATTTGCTGTAATTTAATTATTTTAAATAGTAATATGATAATTTCTGAAAAAAAAGTATCCATAAAAATGAATTTAAGATGCTAAAACACAGCAAGTATGATTCAATGTGTACCAAAATTTGCATAAGAAATTAGGCTTCGATGAAAAACTGTTGCTTACAAGCAACTTCTGATTTAAGAGTAATTCCACTTTCATAATAGTTAAAAATGAACTTTATCATCGTAAGAAGCGGTGCGACTACAGAACCAATGAAATACCTACAATAGAAATAATAAGAAAGAAATTGGAAGCAACCGGTCTGAACATAAACTGCTGTGGCAAAACTCTTCAAACTCGTATAAAGAAAATGGGCTTTAAATTCAATTATGTCTGTTGTCTAGCTATCCTAGCTAGCGGAAACACATGAGTGGAATCCAATTTAACCTACGACATATTTTTTCACCCATTTTTTACTAATTTATTACCAACCTAATAATTTTTCACCCCGTAACCACCCTTAAGGGGAGCGATTCTGCTGACTTAAGGTTCAAGCTAGCAGAATTTAAAAAAAACTTTTTGCCTATGGCATATTTTTTTACTCATTTTTCACTAATTGATTACCACCATAACCGTTTTTGACCCGTAAACCACACTTAAGGGGAGCGATTCTGCTGATTTAAATTTCAAGCTGGCAGAATTTTGGAAAAATTAAAAAAACCTATTTTTTACTAATTTATTACCAATAAATTTTCACCCTCAAATGGGAGCAATTCCGTTAGCTTAATATGCAAGTTAGTAGAATTAAAAAAAATATATTTATGATGTACCACAGTGTTCTGATAGGTTTTTACGAATTTATTACCACCCTAGTAATTTGTCACCCCTCAACTACCCCTTCTGGGAAACAATAATTCTTTTAAGGTTAAAATTTATGGTGAATAATCTTTTTTTACAAATTCATTTATTATAACCGAAATAAAAAAGTGTTGTGGTAAGGTTTTACTAAACTTTGACCACCCTGATAATTTTCCACCCCTAAACCAATATTATTTGGAAACGTTTCCGCTAGCTTAATATTCGAGCCAGAGGAATAAAAAAATATTTTTGAAGTACCACAGTGTTCTGCTAGGTTGTTACGAATGTACTAATATCCTGGTAATTTTCATCCCCCAATTACCAAGTGTGGATAGTCAATAATTGTGTTGGGTTAAAATTTAAGGTGGAAAACATGTTTTATTACAATTTCACTATACTCTACTTGTAACTAATAAAAAAGTGTAATAACTTTTTACTAAACTTTGAATACGTTGACAATTTTTCACCCCTAAATCAATTTTATTTGGAAACGTTCTTGGCAGCTTAATTCCGCTGGCTTGAATATTAAGCTAGCGGGAACGTTTCCAAATAAGATTAATTCAGGGGTGGAAAATTATCAGGGTGGTCAAAGTTTAGTAAAAACGTACGAGAACACTTTTTATTCAGTAAATAGACAGTGAAATTAAAAAAAAAGATTTTTTCAACTTAAATTTTAACGTAACAGAATTATTGACTTCCCACAAGGGGTAGTTGAGGAGTGAAAAATTAATATTGTGGTAATACGTTCGTAAAAAATCTAGCAGAACACAGATATTTCATTTTTTTTTAAATTTCGCTGGCTCGAATATTAAGCTAGCGGGAACGTTTCCAAATAAGATTGATTTAGGGTGGAAAATTATCAGGGTGGTCACAGTTTAGTACAAACTTACCAGAACACTTTTTTATTTCATTTATAAGTAGAGTACACTAAATTGCAAAAAAAGATTTTTTTCACCTTAAATTTTAAACTAACAGAATTATTGACTTCCCACAAGGTGTAGTCGAGGGGTGAAAAATTAGTGGTAATGGTGGTAATACATTCGCAAAAACCTAGTAAACCACTGTGGTATATCATAAATTTTTTTTAATTCTGCTACCATTATGGGTAGCCCATTAGGGGTACGTTTGAGGGTGAAACATTATTGGGTTGGTAATAAATTAGTAAAAAATATAAAAAAAAATATGCAAAAAGCATATAAATTTTATTTTTGAATTCTACTAGCTTGAACTTTAAGTCAGCAGAATCGCTCTCCTTAAGGGTGAGCTAGTAGTAAAAAATCATTAGGGTGATAATTAATTAGTGAAAAATCGGTAAAAAGTTTTTTTTTTAAATTTTGCTAGCTTAAACCTTAAGTCAGCAGAATCGCTCCACTTAAGGACGGTTTAGGAGCGAGAAAGTATTAGGATGGTAATAAATTGGTCATACGACCTACGCATCCTGAAAGACCTTGATACGAAGATGAGAGTCTAAGCCACGTTAAACGAGCAAGTGACTGCAATTAGATACGAATCGAACGAAAAACAAACGATCAAACAAATTACAGAAATAGTGCAAAATGTAAAGGATAAACACTTAAAGACAGATAGATTAATGAAGAAAAAATCATGGATAACAGATGAGATCCTGAAACTAATGGACGAGAGAAGAGAAGCCAAAAATCAGAAAGAAAAAGAAGCAAGGGAGAGATGCGAAGAAATAGAGACTCTGCAGTCAAAGTACGATAATCACAATGTACATAGGAAAGTTAAAGAACTCACAGGAGGACTAAGACGGAAGCAGAAATGAAATATAACTGATTCTGACGGAAACATCATCTTGGACAAACAGAATAAAATAAGAACGTGGAAAGAATATCTAGAAAAACTATTTAAAGACCAAAGAGATAACACCTTTGAGCTAGAAGAAGAGGTAAATGATGAACCAAGAATATTACAGCAGGAAGTTTATTCCACAATAACACAGTTAAAGGATGGCAAAGCGACAGTTCCTAATAATATACAAGCAGAACTACTCAAACTAATGGACAACGAATCATAGCAATAATCGCAAAGATATTCAACAACATATACAACTCTGGAGAAATACTAACAGAATGGCTGAAATCTGAGTTTATTGCACTTCCAAAAAAACCAGGAGCCAAAAATGTGAAGACTACCGTACTATAAGCCTCATGAGTCATCTCCTAAAATTGTTCCTAAAGATAATTCATAAGAGAATCTACAAGCTCTGTGAAAGTCAAATTTCCCCCAACCAGTTCGGGTTCACAAATGCTGTTGGTACTAGAGAGGCTTTGTTCTCAGTACAAGTCTTATTCCAGAGATGCAGAGACGTCAACTGCGACGTATACGCATGTCTGGTTGATTACGAGAAAGCGTTTGATCGAGTACAGCACGCCAAGCTGATACAAATACTAAAAGAAGCAGGAATTAACAACCAAGATCTGAAAATAATTAGAAGTATTTACTGGAATCAGACAGCAAATCTCAGAGTTGAAGGTGAACACACTGACTATGTGAAAATCATGCGTGGAGTGAGGCAAGGCTGTATTTTGTCTCCTCTAATCTTCAATCTGTATTCTGAAAGAATATTTATCGAAGCTTTACACGAAACTGAAAAAGGATATTCTACTAAATGGTTACTGGCTTAACAACATCAGATATGCAGATGACACCATAGTATTTGCGGACAACTTAGAAGACCTACAAGTTCTTATGAACAAAATCACGTATTACAGTCAACAATATGGACTCAATATAAACGTTAAGAAGACAAAGCTTATGATAATTAGCAAGAAAAGGATAACAGAAGGTCAACTCTACGTCAACCAATCTCCTGTAGAAAGAGTGACGCACTACAACTACTCGGCACCATAATAAATGAAGAATGGGCCAACAACCAGGAGATTAGAGCATCGCAAAAGCTAGATCCACCTTCAATCGGATGGGGCCTTCTTCAAGAGTCACAACCTCTCTCTCGATACAAAAGTAAGAATGCTGCGATGCTACGTCTTCTCTGTCCTTTTATATGGTGTTGAATCGTGGACCTTGAACGAAGATATGTGCAAAAAACTGGAAGCATTTGAGATGTGGCTATATCGGAGAATACTTAAGATCCGTGGACTGACCGAGTCACAAATGAGGAGGTCCTTAGAAGAATGAATAAGAACCGAGGGTACTGACCACCATTAAATCTCGAAAGTTACAATTCTTCGGACATATTATGCGAAATGAATCCAGATATGCTCTCCTTCAAGCCATCCTGCAAGGAAAAATATTTGGAAAGCGAGGTCCAGGAAGAACTTGGTTAAAGAACCTCAGAATCTGGTTCAATACAACATCTGTGCAGCTTTTCCGCGCTGCTGCAGATAAGATAAAGATTGCCATGATGATCGCCAACATTCGTAACGGATAGGCACATCAAGAAGAAGAAGAATAAATTGGTGAAAAAATATAGCGTAGGTTAAAATGGATTCCGCTCATGTATCCCTGCATAGCTTGCTACAGGCTGACGCTGGCACTTTTGACGTCGTTCTGTCACCTCAGAAGAAATGAAGATCTGTAGAGGAGTTAGACAGGGATGTGTGTTTATCACCACTTTTGTTTAACTTATATTCTGAAGAAATATTTTCCAAAACACGCTCAATAATATCGAAGCGGGAGTCACCGTTAACGGAAAATTAATTAATAATTTAAGATATGCAAGACTACACTGTGATCATAGCAACGAGTATAGAGGATCTACAACATCTTATCGAAAGCTTGAGTATAAATAGTGCTGAGGAGATGGGAAATTACTATAAACGCCAAAAAAACGAGAGAGTACATGCTGATTACAAAAGGCCAAAAAATATACATCACTATTGACAATAAATTGGTAAGTGATAGAACAAGTAGAAAAATATCAGTATTTGGGAACTTTGATCAATGAAACCAATGATCATACTGTAGAAATAAACAGACGAATAGAGATTGCCAGATCAGCATTTATACGAATGAAGCCACTCCTAACGTGCAAAAATCTAAATTTGGAGATCCAGACTAACGTACCATTCGCTGTTATATATTTTCAATATTATTATATGGAGCTGAGACTTGGACATTAAAAAAAACTGTAATTTAAAAGAATCGAGGCCTTTCGAAATTCTGGTTATACCGCAGAGATATTGAAAATATCATGGACAGATAGAATTACAAATAAAGAAGTACTGGAGAGGGTTGGTAAAGAAACAGAACTAATCACCACATACAAACCAGAAAACTGGAATACCTAGGCCACGTGATGAGGGGCACCAAAATATGGAAAGTTTGAGACTGATAATACAGGAAAGATTCAAGGAGAAGATCTGTTGGCCGAAGGCAGAACTCATGGTTAAAAGAATCTACGTGATTGGTACCAATGCAGATCGATTGATTTGTTTAGAGCAAGCAAGTTCTAAAATAAAAATAGCCATTATGATTGCCAACCTCCGTAGGGAGACGGCACTCTAAGAAGAAGAAGTTGTCTCTTCATCTATACTGAGGTATTTTGATATATTCAGATTTATTTTTAGTCCTTTCTCCTACATGAGGGAGTTAGTTTAGGTCAATGAAGTGTGTGACGTAGACGTAAAAAACCAAGCTACTTTACTTGCTTATACTGCTGTCCTAACTTGAAAGGTCCTATCTGCAAAATTTAGGTTTTGAGAAAATCCAGTATTTGTTTCTTTTCATTGTATAACGCTTGGTAATTTAACAAACTCTTTATGTTTTATTTTATATATTATGTCGAAGAATAGAATTTAATTGCTAGTCATAATTTTGATTTATTCTTTCCCGATTAGTTGATTTTTGATTATATTGTCACTTAGGACAATATAGCTGCTTAGTATATGAAATACGTTTTTTTTCTGTTACTTACTGAAGTTGTCTTAAATGAAACTAAAATTCTAATTAACTGAACACTTTTAATTTTATTAATAAATTTTAAAACTTAATACACAATTTACATTGTAATATATGTAACATAAATGATATAATATATCGATAAAAACATTAAAATATATAAACTTTGAAAAATAAGGCTATTATCGAGCACAAGTTAATTAAATCTAGCCCAAGTACTTTCGCTTAAAATAGCATCTTCAGGGGCATTTCGTCAAAATGTAAACTATCCGGCAAGCGTAGAATGTGGAAACATTAATAATGACATAAAATTGTACAAAACACTACATTAAAACGAGGACAAACAGTTTAAAATTACTTGAAGATTCTACGCTACATTCTTTGTCAGTATCTGGAGGGATGATCTCTCCATCATCCCTCATGATCATTATCCCTCCAGATACTGACAAAGAATGTAGCGTAGAATCTTTAAGTAACTTTAAAAACTGTTTTTCCTCGTTTTAGTATAGTGTTTTGTACAATTTATGTCTATTATTAATGTTTCCACATTCTACGCTTGCCGGATAGTTTACATTTTGACGACATTAAAATATTACTAATATTTATCATTTTCTTCCTCAAAAGCACTTTCGTTAACAGGCAAATCTTCCCAAAATTTCATACGATTTTGAGGAATGTGCGCTTTTAATTTGGATATAAGATTATTTTTCTATCTAAAGTTACACCGCGACATGTATTAACAAACCATATCTTTTAAGTAAACGCGAAAAATCAGCTTTTGTAACTTATATTTGGAGGTATAGTCAGTGAAGTTAAAAAATTGTGGAAGTTGCATTTTTATTAAATTTACTTTTGACGAATTGGCTTGTTTTACCGTTTCGCAAAAATCGTCAAAATCGTATACTTTTTTTTCTTTTAAGAGCAAGCTCAACTTGGTGGTGAAATGAATCTGCGGCCATAAAAGTATGACCTGGCTCAAAAAATTTGATTATTATGTCTTCTACAGCAACTTCTGAACTGTTAACCAAATACATAAAGAAACTAAAAAGGGACCAATTTTTATTTTGGCTCGAGCAATTACCAAGCCAAACTGTTATATGTGTATTGTCCCTGTTTGCCAGAAAAAAAGCGTAGAACGCAGAAATAATGTCATCTGCCAGCAATTCCCTCATGCCACAATACGGTCAAAGGGTAGGTATTGGACTTCTTTCCAAGCGAGACAAAACTCTCATTATATGCTACGATACGTGGCGTAAAAATAATTTCCTTGAACGTTTCCAAACGAGGCAGCATGATAACCTAAAAATTGAGGAAACTGTATTTAAAATTCTATATATGTACTTAAACTTATTACCTTTTGCAAATCACCAGCTACAATAATCTCATCATCTCGTTTTATTTTCTCTGCATCTTTCTGGTAATTTTTTCTGGCGTTTAACGCTTTTATCTTATGAATTTTGCATTTTTTGCACAAATCACAGTTAGCAACATTTTCTTCATCAGCTTCATGAGATGTGGCTTTTTTGTGTATTTCAAATGCTTCGCAATCCCAGCACTCTTCATTTCCTAGATTGGCAAAGGATATATTTAGGTCATTAGACACAATTTTTCTGTATAATTCGTAAGAAAAATCTGTATTTGGATATTTTAATCTAAAATCTTTGTACATGAGTGTAATGTTTACATCACTGGGAAGGTATTTTCTATAAGGAGCGTGCTCTCTTCTGTAATGTGATATCGTTGGGTTGAACGAATTAATATGTTCAATAATTGTGTTTCTGTCCACTTTGCGTGCCTGTGAGCGGTTTCTCCCATCTTTTTTAGGCACTATCAATTTCAAATCTGTTTTTCGTAATTTTAAACATTCTGTCGTTATCTTTTCATAGCCAATGTCGCCAAAAGAAATACCTTACAAACACGCGCATCTTCGGCTTTCTATGATGTTAGATAGTATTTGTAGGAATACACTCTTGGTGATACTAGATTTTGAGATGTACTTCTTTTTTTTCTCACTTTGTTTTACACAGCTAAAAACAGACTGTTTTTTTTTGTTCTTTTTCTAATAGCCAGTATTGTTTATTAATATCTTTTTGTCTAGAATACGAAATGTTTTTAGCGCAATTGAATTTGCATTTACATGACTTTTTAACTTCATGAGCTCTTATGTAACTCTCTCTTTTTTGTTTTTTCCTTTCAACAAGTGGCTCTATAAATTTTTTCCTTTTTCTTATTTCCCCAGTTTTTGTATACAATTTACTCTCAGCTTTATCAACTGCTTTGTTTATAATGTTGAGATGTAAAACATTCTCCCTAACGAAATCATGAACCAAGCAAAATTCGTTTTCTGCTGGTTCTATATCTGATAGGTTTTCCTTGTGTTCTTCTAATTCGATATTTGAAAACCTTGAATTACTTAATTCTACATGATTAGAACTTGCAGGGGCTAGTAATACGTTGGACAGTATCTGTATGTTTTTACTGGGGGAAATAATTTGTTTAGATTCGTAACTAGAATTCGACTCGCTGCCATTTATATTATTGTCGGATTCATTGAAAGGCCCAGGTGCATAATATGGATCATTCTCAGGTTTGGCTATATTTATTTTTTGTTTGAGCTGGTTATTTAGAGCAAGAAATACCATACGTTTACACCTATCGCTGTTCCGGCTAAGTGACGCTGCATTTTTACTACTACAAACGATAATTACAATCAGTTATTGCTTTATTAAAGTAACATTATTAAACTTACCCTTCATCCATTTCTCACAATATATATTTGCTTAAAATGCAAAAAACACGAGAATATACCCAATGTCTGACAATAACAAATACTTTTTATAATTAATTATTTGAGGTTATGTTGCATAATGTGTTTCTGTCATACTACGCAAAATTGTCCTAACTGATGCTGCTTAGTATAAAATGCTAGCTTAAATAGTCCTAACTGCATTTTTAAAGTTAGAACGGACTATTTTTCTTAGTATATGTAAGATAGGACAATTTATGTTAGTGAACATGACATTTTAGTCAGTTAGGACAAACCATTTATATATAAAATCAGGCACTTAAGACGCTTATACGGCAATTTCATTTTGTACATACATAGATAATATGTTTACGCATACCGTGAGCCAATAAAGTCAATTTACGAAATTTTGCAGATAGGACCTTTTATGTTAGGACGGCAGTATAGATTTATAATGCTATATAGTTATATGTTATAAATGCTATAATGATAGATCAAAAATATAATATATTACCATCTCTATTTTCTAGATGAATCCTATTCTTTTGAACCATGGCATTAGCTTGGGCTCGTGCCTTCAAAGCTCCCATAGAATGGCTCTTACGTGGTGTGGACCCAGCAGCTTCCCGACGTGAAGTGTGTCCCTGAGGCCAAGCAAATTGCAGTCTATATTCAGTACTTAATTTTGAAATAGCTTTTCTTAAAAGACTGCCGTCTTTTCCCTAAAACATACCAGATGTATTACCTGTATATTTTAAGGAATAAAACCTTCAACTTGAATGCAACTATAGGGACGATCAAAAATTATATTTAAGTGAAAATATGAAATGAATAACTATTGCAAAATGTTCTACCTGCATTCAAATTGGTATTTGGACTGACCAAAACACTAATTGATTTATAACAAACACTATATTTGTGGCAACTGCTTTTTGTACAATTATTCTTTAATAGTGTTTTTTGTCATCCAAGGCACAAACTAGTGAGATTTGTGAAAATGAGGTGTGTTGGGAACGCGTCTTTTCCACTATATTATTAACTTTATCAAAAGGTTGTCACGTTTCTTCATTTAAATAAAATATAAAAGTACGGCTAGGTTTTTTGAAATACAAACCAGACTTTTAAGAAAACTAATTAATCAATCCGTGCAAAGACTTTCACTATTACACTCTTTGCACCATAACATTAACTAACTAAAGCACTATGTAATAAAACTATCACATTGACAAAACCAAATTTAAAATGTAAACAATAGTAATTTCCTTCAGCCTACACACTTGTTTTTCACAGATGGCACGATAAGATCCTTGGCACACAGCTGAAAATGAACTCCATGATGTTATAAATACAAACGACCATTTTTGACTAAACAAGCCATCTTTTATTAGATATTCCTCTAATATACTCCTGTTTTTTGTTTAAAATTATAGCAATATGTTTGATATAAATATAATTAATGTTACCAATATTAAGAAATACTATCTAAAAATTACCAGATTAAATGTTTTTGCCAATGAGTATAGTTTAATTTAAAATCACATCATTTTGATTACTTTAACCCACAATTTTAACACTATAATTGAGTAATAATCAGGGGATGACTAGTATACATTCTTATTTTGTCTGTACCTATTTATTATTAAAAAAATCTGCCAATGAAACTATTTGTTCTTATATACACACTGACATCTGTGAACATGTACAAATTAATTGTCGTAAGTAATGCGATAATTAATTATACAACAAATGTAGCATATTATGTACCATAAATTGTTAAAATATATTTATTTATTTTTACTATAACAAAGATATAGACATAAAGTTTCTTACGTTTTTACGATCAAATTTACAAATTAAATTAAAATGAGAACAAAATATTCATGATCTATGCGAAACTAAAAAAATAAATAGGGCAGAAAGACATTTGAAATTTAATTTTAATGCAAGGCTACTGCCATCCGTTTATATGTATTTGGACCTCATTAGGCCTTCTCAGAGCTAGCAGAAGCTCCTTCTACATAATGCAGAAGCTGCAGAAGAAAAAATAAATGTGTAAAGATGGATCCAAAAATTGTAGTGAAAAGTAAATTAGTGTCTATCGAAGTAAGAATCGAAGCATCGGAAGGAACCATTGGAGGTGCTAAAAGGTGCGAAAGAAAGTGTATTTAATGAAAAAGACAGCAAATATTTGATTTCACGCAAACAGCGCCTATGTATCTGTTGATACGTGAATACGCCTATGTTCTCAACGTGAAAAATCAATATTTTCTGTCTTTTAAGAAGCAACACTAAATGTTTATCAACGTCTGTTTGCCTTGCAATTTTTAGAAGGCTCAGATTATAAGCAGAAATCTGAATTGCGTTTCGAAACTATTTTACGGATTTTATTATTAGATGTCGCTATCGCGTCCATATTGAAGCCATTTTAGTGTTGCTTCTTAAAAGACAGAAAATATTGATTTTTCACGTTGAGAACACCTATGAATAACTGTTCTGATGAGACCTCTCTCTCTTCAATTCTGACCCCCCAGGGGGAGTGTAGTGGTCGACGTGATGTCGTGTATTGTCCGTCTCCAGAGATCTCTGTCTCTGGTCATTTCTTTTAATTCATGCATAGGTCTATGGCATATCCCTGTAATTTGATCTATCCATCTTGTTGGGGATCTTCCTCGTGATCTTCGGCCTTCTAGGCTGAAGGGAAGGAGGAGACCTATTAGGTCGAAATACGCATCAACAGAAACATAGGCGCTGTTTGCGTGAAATAAAATATTTGCTGTCTTTTTATTTGGATTCTTCATTTTATTCGGATATACTCTGTGTGAGTACGAGAAACACAATTCGCTAAGGATTTCTGCTTAGTTGTAAAGACATGTCGTGGAATGCAAATTTTAGATTCCTCATGTCCCTTTTAACATCTTTTATCAACGTCTGTTTGCCTTGCAATTTTTAGAAGGCTCAGATTATAAGCAGAAATCTGAATTGTGTTTCTAAACTATTTTACGAAAGTGTGTTTAGTTTAAAGATAGAAGAACAAATGAGCTGACACAATTTGGAGAAATATGACCTTAGTAGACAAATAAAATTGAAATATTTTACTAATTGAAACCGGAAAGACATTTGAGAATATAGAGACTTGGTGGTAGGCCAAACTAGATCCACTAATAAATAATATGAAACAGTAATTTGTATCAAGAATGTTTTTAAAAATCTTGGACTGGCAGATTTGCCGAAAATAAATAGTTTCAGTTGTTAAAGGCACATTTAGCGCCGAACATTAGGGTTACTCATGAGAAACAGTACGTACTCCTATCTCGTATAGAGGATCCTATGGAAAATAAAACTACCATTAAAAAGTGTCTGCTCCTATTGTTTAATAATATACTGGTGAGTTGTAAATTTTCACTGAAATTTTTATTCTTCATAACTTTTGAACGATAAGCTCAATATGTCTCATATTTTGGAAAAACGTTACATTAATACCACCTAATCAACTGATTTATTTAAACTAAAAAATCAGGTTTTTCTTTAAAAAATTACTTCGGTTTGTTAATAGTCACCATTTATAAGGGTTTTGAAAACTCTAATAAGAATTTTATAAATTAGACAAATAGACAATTAAATTGTCATATTAATTTTTTCACAGGATTACTTAATTTTTAATTAAAATATCAATGGCTAAAGTGAACGATCGATGTAAAAAAATGTAACTTTTCTTGAAAAAGTTGAATTTTTTTTGAATAAAAATTTAATTTAACAAACCCATAAGCCCTTCTCCATAGACCCACAACCGTATTCAGTGTCTATATCGATCTCAAAAAAGTTACAATAAAAAAATTTAAATAAATAAAAAAAATAAATAATAATAAAATAATGAAAAATAAACTAAGAATAACAAATTCAATTTGAAATTCAAAAAAAAATAAAAAAAAAATTAATAAAAAATAAACAAATAAAGGAAAACCAACAAAAAAAATAATACAAAAAAAATTATATATACTTGATAACATATATTTAGTATTAACCCATTAACACAATACATACCCTAATATACTATGGGGGCTATATACTATGCCCATTAATGCCCAGCGTACCTGTACGGATACGGCAAATATAATTTTCTACTGACGCCATCTGTGATTGAAAATCTTAATGTCTGGGACACAAGACACTTCTGCACAGAATACTAAATAATCAGAATGTCCACTCTCAGATGCCGCCTTTAAAGTTTTCAGTACGCGCGCCATGTTTTAGAAGGAAACACATAACACAGACATATGATTTGTGAGGTTATGTAATTGTTTATATTTATGTTTAATTATATTATATTTATGTTATTATATTTAACAATGTTAATATAATTGTATAGTATGTCTATGATTGCCGTAAGTCAATTAAACCGGGTTAATTTTTCTATATACACCACATAAACAACACTGGTTCCCTCTAAAACATGGCGGAACGTCTGCGTGAAGGAGATGCGCGTACTTAATTTTCCATGGAGAGTGGGCATTCTGATTGTTTATTATTCTGTGCTTCTGCATAGTTTCATCTCTCAGAAGGTATAACAGATTACCGTATTTTTTCATGTAGTTTTAAGAACCCTTTAAAATGGCCATTGCAGTTGTGATTTAGAGGTGGTAAGTGAACATTTTTCTCAATATTGTTCTGTATTTATGAATTTACTTTGTTGCATGCCTGAAATTTGTTTTATATATGTGTAAGAATATTGAGTGAATATAGTTTTATCACATCTTTGGTTTACCTGGAGCTTTAACAACCCCAACTTCTCTGTACCTGGCTGGGTACATTGGGCAAAAGGGTATAAAATAAAATATATTTTTTTAGGTCTGAAATTCTACGATGAGTCTTCCTGAGTCCACGTCTGTATTTTATGGAAAAAGGTATCAAATGCTTGCAGCAGGTGTAAATGATATTGAAAGTGTAGAGATTACCAATAGTGCAGAAATAGATTTGGTAATAATTCCACCAAATTTTGACTACCAAACGGATGAGAAGGATTTTGATGAAAATGATTTGATAACAACCCAAATTCCAAACGATGTTCCTAGAGAACTCAAAGTCATTATTGACGAGTCCGAAGATGAGGATGACTATAGAACGGTAGATGATCCTGACTATAATGATTTTGATAATAGAGATGACCCTGATGAAATAGATGTAGACATTGTAATGAATGGAATTGATAAAAGCGGAGCTTGTAGAACTAACTAAGTTATAAATTTGTGAGTTATTTGATGATGGAATTGTATGATTTGTTTGATGATTGTTTGATGATGGAGTTGTAAATCCTATTGTTGTAGAGCAAACCAATCGTACGCAACAGCCTTCAATAATTATAATTTTAAAATTACAAAAGATGAGATCAAAATTTTTGTTGGAAATTTTATTTTCCCTTGAAAATTACCCCGTGAAAGGATGTATTGGAATTTGGATGAAAGACTTGAATGTTCGATTTATTTTCAACGCTATAAGCAGAAATATGTTGACAGAAATTAAAAGTGTATACATTTGGCAGACACTAAACTCAAAAAAAAAACTGATAAAATGTCGAAACTACGACCGCTTATGGACTTACTGAATGCTAAATTTCAGTAATGGGGCATTTTTCATAAAAATTTATCCATCGATAGGGCAATGATCAAATACTTTGGCTATCATTCGGAGAGGCAATTTATCAAATCAAAGCCTGATGACACAATCT